TTTTGGGGGGGGGGGGGGGGATACCCAAAATCCTCATGTTCAACACAGCAGATGGCTGCCGGCTCGGCCCGCCTGCCACACCCATGCATCCAGACTAGGACTTAAGCAGAGGGTCTTTAAGCCCGTGTGTCGTCCCCCCCGACCGTCAGCTGCTTGGCTGAGGTCACATGACCTGCCCCCACTCCCGTACAATCAGCACATTCACACCATCTTCCGAGGCTCATCCTACTAAGTGCTGTGTGGGCTAAAATTGGCCAGCCGACCGCAGATAGACGTCACTTGCTGGGGAGTGACACCGGGCAGGAAAATGGGGCTCTGCCAGGCCGGACTGAGGACGGCTGTACACGAGGAGCCAAAAGGCAGCGAGCGTGGACAGAGGGGGCTCCACATTAAATAACAGCAGGGTCAGGGCCATCCTCAATCACCAGCAGCCTCGGTGCTCCCGAGCGGGATGGCAGGGGGCCGGATGCACCCCTGCCCCCCCACATCCCACCCCCCCTCCCAAGGCTTTTTTTTGGGGCAGATGAAGATAAACAAAAACTTCAGCGACTACAGACCTCCCAGCTCCAAGGCTACGGACCTAAACTGACACATAATGACTCTCACGAGCTCTTAAAAGTGCTAATTGCACCGAGGACAGGCCGATTCCCGCACATCTGGACCATTAAGCGTGGAGGAGGAGTCCCAGCACCGGGCAGGAGCCGCCAGCCCTGTTTCAGCACCAATAAATATTTTAAGTAGCGGTGAGGCCGAGAGTGACGCTCGCATTGGGCGCATGAGGAAGGCACTGCGATTATAAAAGTGACGCCTTTAAAGTAAGCTGTCACCCAGCCAGGGGGCTTAACGAGCTAAGCGGGGACACGGCAGGGTGGGGGGGGAGGCCATGGGGCCCAGCCACCGGGGGGAGAGGGCTGCTAACATTAATCACACTAGACAGCCGAGTGTTTGGCTGGAGCAGGGGGCTCTAGGGTACAACAGCAGATGCCGGGGGACGTCACAGGGCCCATTCCGGAAGGGAGGCATGCTAGCAGCTCTTGGCCTGATGGGAAATGGCAGATGGGGGGGGGGGGGCACAAAAACAATGGAATGAAGGAGAGGGACAGCGCAGGAAACAGGGGCTCCCCGAACAGGAAGCTGAGCGGCGCGAGCCGTGCTGAAGAGAGTAGAAGTTAGTTTCTGGGCAAGCCGCAAAGCGGCACCCCCTACTGAAACTGTGAGGGAAAGCAGCTTAAAAAGAGGGAGAGACCAAGCAGCAGGGATAAGAGAGGCAGAGCGAGCCAGGGAACTGGCACACCTGCGAGGGCAATGGGAGCTCCTGCCCAAGTGATGGTGACCTGGCCGGCGAAGCCCCGCCCATTACAATCCAACAATACAAGACAACTGCTTTTTAATGACCGACAAAAACATGGGACTTGGCAAGAAGCAGCCGCCAGCTGACATGTTTGATGGCGAGCAATTAGGGCCAAATTAGCTGTGAATTGTACAAACAGAGACGAGGGAGCAGCCAACAGGATCCATGATTAGAGGATGATGTCGGAGAGGGGGCTCCTGGGCCAGGTACAAGGGGCACCCACCTGCTGGTCACATGGGCTTAAAAAAGGTAAAACACACAGGGTTTACACGACACACACACACACACACACACACACACACACACACACACACACACACACACACACACACACAGCGGCCTGGTGGCTAGTGCCACAGAAGAGATGCGCTTTAAAGACGTGGGTGCAGCAAGTAGGCCTTTCCACAGTCTGGGTGGGGCCACTGCAGAGCAACCACCCCCTTCATAGCGCCGAGGAGAGAGAACAAGAAGACTTCAGATTAAAGCCATATCAAGTGCCAATTAGTGCTTGAGAAGAGTACATATGTACTGGAATCCCGGTGTGTTTCTGGATCACAGACAGATCACTCTCCCAGATAATGGAATCCCGGTGTGTTTCTGGATCACAGACAGATCACTCTCCCAGACACTAGAATCCCGGTGTGTTTCTGGATCACAGACAGATCACTCTCCCAGATACCGGAATCCCGGTGTGTTTCTGGATCACAGACAGATCACTCTCCCAGATATCCCTCTCAGAGCTTTTTGGTCCTCCTAGCCCCGTTTAAACTGAAGCTGTAGCAGCAGGAGGAATGGTAACTAGCCATGGGAGGACCGGCGGCTGGGCAGCAGCTCTCTGTGGTTATTAAACGGCAGATAACGTTAACCTGAAGGAAGCAGGTGACGAGTCCACGCTCAGAAAAATTACATTTCTCTGACTGCTGCCACAGGGGGCAGACTGACTGCATTCTGAGCCCGTCCCACCTGCGGGTCATGGGCCCCCCCATATCCTGCCCCCGCCGCTCCAAACGATGTCTCAGGAACAGCCAGTTCCCGTTCCGTGCAGGGCGACGCGGTCCGGACGGCTCTGTTTGACATTCCGTTCACATCGTTTGTTTACCGGCAGCTGCTCTGCTTGTGATGACTAATATGGCCATTCTACGAAAGGCTAATGGCCCCCCCCCCAAAAAAAAGATGCAGAAAGGGGCCCGAGTTTTTGGACTAAATACACATCCATCCATCTCAATTTCCCAAAGCCCTTTATGTGTGTCCTTTACTATTAAAAATGCTCTAATTTGATCAATGGATCCCCCATCCCTGTCCTTATGTGTTATACACAGACGCCGATCTTTGGCATTTCGATTCCAGTTTGTTTCAACATCAGCGGCATCTGTCAGTCTCATATTTATAAAGAGAGTTAGAACAGGAGAAGCTCGCAAGGCTGACCAAGTACACACTCATCCATCTCAATTAGCCCCGACCTTTGGGCCTGTTCAGGGCAACCCACAGCATCTCCATCATCCCATCATGACTGAGAACAGAATGGCGGCTGCCTGGGACCCGTCATGTGGCAATTATGGTAAATGGGGACACACTCCGGGGGGGACAAAAACACAATGTGCCTCAGTGTGAAAGCTGTTAAGGCCCTCGACCCCTCCTTGATTGAAGTGCGGCTGTCACACCCGCGGACTGGAGCACAGCTATGGCACGTGCTGAAGTCGGCCAGACAGGACAGCAGCTCCTGGAGGTTTGAGGGAGCCCACCCTCAGAGCAGGGCCGGTGACATCACACGCGGGCCCCATGACCGCAGGCGAGACGCCGCGCAGCCGGAGAGGGCGACCCTGCGGTCACGCTGCACCAGGACGTGGAGACAGAGTGAAGGGAGGCTCTGTCTGAGGGCGGCAGAGCCTCCCGCCCCCGCAGCGGTGTGACATAGCGTCTCGGGGACGCGGGACAGAGCGAGAGTGAAGGGCTCGGCGACTGGGAGCCTTTAGGGAACGATGAGCTGGCGGCCGCAACATCATGACTGAACTTCAGCCTAATTTTCCAACCACAGGTCAATGCATTTTATTTATATATTTATCTGCTTTATCTTTAAAAAAAAAAAAGTACCATTACAGCTAAACATAATACGTAAATAAGATATATAAACACCAACCCAACGAAACATTTATAAAAACTTATTTCAGAGAAGGCAAGAAAGACACAGAGACAGAAAGGTGTCCGAACACAGCAGAAAGGGGCGCTCTTACTTTGGGTAGATGGACGCCATCTTGGCAGAGGCGTAGCCCGGCTTGCAGGTGCCTTTGCTCATGTTGCCGTACTTGTAGAACAGATCCTGGGGCCTACAGGGGAGGGGAGCACACAGAGGATGAGGCCTGGGGGATGGAGGCAAGGTGTGGGGGGGGGGGGAAACATGCACATGAGGGCCTTCTCTGGCAGCACTGTGTAAGACCTCAGGGCGTTCTGTGTGTCCCGAGTGAGGTCACCACACGGGGAATCCAACGCTAATCAGGGCTCCCAAAAAACAGCGTTTTTCAAAAGGGCTCTAATATTTACGTTAAGGCGGTTAGACACTGACAGCCCGTCGATTCTGGAATGTATACAAGTGGGGCAAAAATGTGATAAAAAGTGTTTGAGACACTGTGCCCCCCTCCCCGCCCCCCATTTCCCATGGGCCAGAAGATGGGTTTTCTCCCCAGAATCCGTGAAAATGATCAGAGCTCAAACAGCACCAAAGCAAAGGTGTCAGCAGCTCATTTTTTGAGTGCGCTGCCCGCAGAACTCAGGCGGACCCCAGTGCCTAAGCGTGCCTTTTAACCATTAATTACAGGACCTGCTTAAATAAACAGGGCAGCACCCAGCTGACACTGGGTTCCCGGCGCCGGCCCAGCAGATCAGGCCGTCGGGGACAGGGGGGTGAGCCGGAGGAGAGTGACGGCCAGCCTTGCGGGAAAACGCTCTCAACCCGACGCGGAGCCAACTGTGACCCACAAGGAACAAGCACTAAAAAACCGTCAAGGCCTAACAGTGTGTGAACAGGGTGCTGATTCACAGATCTGTGCTTCACCAACCACTTCACACGTGCATGAAGGAGCACGGTTAACACGGCGGCTGCCATGGTGGAAAGACAGGTGATGTGACACGACGCCCTCTAGGGGCTGGGCTAGGGGGGACGCTGAGAAACCAGCGCTGCTTTGCCTGCCCTGCGTTATACATGTTATTTGTTTATGAGATACTTATATCCAAATGTTTTTTTTACGTTTTATTGTGAAAGCAGGGTCATAGGGCAGCTGGGGGTTACAAGCCTAGTTCAGAGACAGTAAAATCACTCTGCTGACCCTGGGCAGATGGTCCTAACCCACTGAGGCACACACCTACAAGTTATGGAAATCACTTTGTAAAGGAGATTTAAGCCTAGATTTTAAGTCTAGAGAAGGCCGGGACAGCAGTCCGTCGTGTCCAGCAGGGGGCCTCAGACGCAGCCCTGGCTCAGTGAAGACAGGCGGTCAGACACAAAAACAAGCAGTTCTGTGTGTCTGAGTGTGAAAAAGACAGGGCAGGTATGGGGGAGGGGGGTAAGGAGGAGGGAGGTACTTACAGCTTCCCGTCCAGCTTCAGCAGGAAGCCCTGCTTATCGTACACTGGAAAGACAAGAAAGCGAGTGAAATTAATCACGGGGGACCACCACAGAGACACAGAGAGAGAGCGACAGAGAGAGGACGCAGCGAGGGCAGTCCAAGGGGGGAAAGAACACAAATTTGATTAAAAACACCACGGACACACACACAGAATGGATAAGAGACTTCTGCGACCCCCCCTCCCCCACCGAGGCTTGCAAAAGGAAGATATCTCTCTCAGAGCTGTATCCCTCACCACAGCGCTGTAGGGTGGCGAATGTGCATCCCCTACAGGTGGGTCAGGGCAGTGCAGCCAATCAGCTGCGTTGGCACAGCACCCGGCTCCACCAGGGGCGACCACATCAGGGTGACTATGGCAAGGGGGGGAGGAACCAGCTGTCCAGAGGGACTAACTGGAGTTATTGTGAAAGCCGGCAATGCAGCCCATTGGCCAACAACACTAGCTGAACTGGTTGTTTCATTACCACCAGTCAGGAAGAGATCACACAGCACAACAGGAGAGGTAGATCCCCAATTAAGCTGCACTGAAACTTCTGGTAACGTCTGGTAATCTTTAAAAGACGTGTAATTAACCTTAACAAGTTTTGACTCCAACATCATCATCATCATCGTCGTCATCATATGCACACATTCTAACTACTTCAGGCAATCATCATCTTCAGCAATTGCATTTCAGTAACTAAAAGCCGCTCATTTGTTTTTGATTGTGTAATTACACTTAATTTGACATAATATTTGTTTAGTGATGTACATCTCCTACATCATAGCTGACTGACAGCGGTTGCATATTACCGGATGGATCATGGTGAATTTGCTACCAATGTGCTGTATCAGGTCATTCCTGCGGTTCCATCTGAAGCTCTTAAACCTCTCAGGATGCCAATAACAGTGGGCTTCATTCTCCAAGTTCCTGCTCCATCAGCTGGAAATACAGTGGCTTCCAAACCCTAGTCTAAAGGGGTAAAACTACATGCTGGTTTTGGCTGTTGAGCTCTTACATAAAGTCGGCTTGACTCAAACATCACGGGAGAATCTGCAAAACATTTAACCACTGAGCAATATTGAAAGCAACATTACAAGTATCTGTACTAAATGTGTTCCCTTTTGTGAATTGTGAAAATGACCATACAGAATAGGCTACACAGGCTAATACATTTTACAGGCGTTTAATTGTTCATGAGCTACAAGGACAGACCCACTGAACTTAAACACATTTCAAGCGGAGCATATTCAGAAGCACCCTGCTGTTTTGTTGCATTGTTAGTAAGAAGTAATACATCCAGCCGATGTCATCAGTGTATGCATTTCCTCTGATGAGGCTGATGCTCGTTAAATATTTAATGGATTCATTAAAAGTGAACAGCTGATGACCGCCTGGTCCATACAGAACAAACTCTGGCGCAGTTAGCTCTGTGTTCTATTCTTGCAAACGGGCCGGCCGGACAGGAGAGAGAGCTAACGGCGCCAAACGGGCCGGCCGGACAGGAGAGAGAGGTGCCGGCGCCACGAGAGCGAGCCACACTGTTGCAGGC